GAACTCATGCCATGGGAGAGCAGACTTTGACCCTGTAAGAAGTTCTGTGGAGTGTCAAAACCTCTGGCAGTGTTGAGGACTTTATAAGACCCTAAATGCCAAGCAGAGAGAGCCTGAACAGGAGCAGCATTTCTGCCTCTGTGAGATCCTGGTGATAGTCCATGTAGAATAGGAAATACAGGACTTCTTGATCCCCCACGATGGGGTTGAAAAGACCACATCTAGGAACCTGTTTTGACTAAAAAGAGCAGGGAGTAAGCAAAGAAGGTGATGTAATATATCCCAAATTCTTATAGGCATTGATAAATCTGTTTTTTTGTCAATGCCATGGCAGGTTTTTGCGCTACTTTTATTCCCAGAGAAGAGAGATGTATGTAGTTTTGCACTCAGGCTTTTAAGTGCTGTTTCAAAAGAGAAGCACTATTCATTGAAAAGGGAAATGGTATCTTACATAAGTGCCCAGCCTTTCTTTTGGAAACTTGCTCTCAGGGAATGCGATTTCAGAACCCAGAAGTCTAGCAGATGTTATTACTATATCTGTTTTACAGGTCAGTGCTTTGGTTTTTTATAGTCTGAGAAATGCACACAGCTGGTAGCCTGTCTTTTACATTATGAGAACAAGTCGATTCTGTATCTTAACTTATATATGTGCTGTTTGTTTGTTTGTTTGTTTGTTTGTTTTTCTGGTAAAATGGGGGACTGTGGCACATCTTGAAAATTCAGGTTCTCTAGTAGCCAACAGTTTTGTTGGCAGACTGTATCATCTTCTTATTCCCATAAAGAGCAACAGTGGATCATTTTACAGTGAATTTTGGTCTTGATGTCCAGGTCAGTGGCATTAAACAGAACAAATAATCCCACCACTCAGACTTAACTGCCATAAAAGGAAAACATTCAGTATTGTAATGTCACGTTTTTAGGCCCCTGTTGATAATAAGGTTCACGATGATGATGATGTAGTAGCTGAATTTATGTGTTAACTGTTGGTTTCAGACACTTACATGGAAAATTGTTGCCAACTCTCACTGAAAAAAATTTTCAAGTATATCAACTTCCTTTCCATCTCATCTGTGTTGTTACTGATTAGTTATTGTATCTGAGAAAATTGTCTTTAGTTTTTCTCAGCATCTAATAGCCAGACTAACAAAAAGGCAGTATTTCTGTCCCTCAGCTCAGATGAATAATTCATTGGCCTGTACTTTTTGTGTAAAGTAAATTTGAACTGTTTCTTTTGTAAAGGCTATTTACAGGAGAGTCATGGACACACAGAAATTAATTTGCTGCCTTCAGGCATGTCATTATCTTTTTACTGGGAGGGAAATAAGAGTTTATTTCTGTTAAATTTTGGTTAAATAATTTTCTGTATCTAGCATTAGAGGGATGGTATCCTTTCATTGGGGAAGCCGGAGTTTGGCAGGTTTTCAGTACTGTTCTGCTGCTATTCTTCCCAGCTCAGATGAACAATGGGCTGGAGGGATGCTGGCAGTGTTGCTTGGTTACAATTCATCAGCGTGAATCAATGCTTCACGCAGCTCCTTCTGCGTCTGAATAACTGGGAGACTTCTCAGTACTGTATTACTGATGTATGCGGAGATGTGACCAGATTACGTACTGTCTCACTTACTGTAAAACTATACCTTTGCAGAGAGATTCGGGCAGCAGCGTTTGACTTTCAGTGGTTGAAGTCGGGTAATTTTGAACTGTCTGTTTTACATGGCTTTATGGTTACACAGCTGAGTAAAGCAAATTTTTAACAATGTATTTTGTTGCAAGGTGTGTTTGATTAGTTTGGTACTTTAGCATCCTTCTGTATTCATCAGGAAGATTAAATCCTTCATTAAGTATCTTCCCCTAGAATAGACACGTGCCTTCCTGAAACCTGCCCGCAGGCAAAGTGAAGCATGTAAGAGGAACTGCCACCTTCCTCTTACTCTGTGCTTTTGGCCAGATCTTAAGCTGGCATAAAATGAAGCTGGTGGAGTTATGCCAGTTTAGAAAATAGGAAGATGTGACAGGTTATTTTTAACACTACGGAATGGCTTTTCTGTATCCCACCCAGATCCATTTTACTGCTCACCTGTTCTTGCTGCTCAAGACACAAACAGAGGAAATATTAAGGAGGAAAGGTGTGCAGTTTGGACTCTCCCTTGAATCAGCATTTCCAGCCACATTGTTCCCATCTACATCCCTTTTCTAACTTTTATATAAAGCTGCTTTATTGTTTTGTGGTTCTCACTGGTTTATGGCCCATTATCACTCTTCATGTACCAGTCACACTCCCTTTTTTGCACGGAAGTTAAAAACCTTACATGAGTCTTCACAGCATTTTGATTATGCTTAAAAACACCTAAAAAAAATTAATGGCCATATGATAATTTGCAGCTTTCTAAGAGTGTCAGTGACAAATCACTGACTAAGCTATTTGCTCATCTGTGGCCAGGAGATCATTGGATTCTGGCATCCACCTGAAGGACTGTCTTCATCACCAGTCCTAGTAAATGTCCTTCAGTCTGTCTACAGAAAAATTCAGAAGTATTTTTCTCATTTTCTTCCTCCCCTTTCACATCTGAAATTCTTGTCCCTGAAAGGCTTTCCCTCTCTCTTTCAGGCTCAGTAATTCTCCATTTCTTCTCAAATCTTCCATACTTGTGTCTTCAGATTTCTCTTTGCCTCTGTTAAGGGCCTCATTATTAAAGCTTACATTTTGCTGCACCTTTTATTTTTCCAAGCTTTCTCTGTTTTCTGTGGTTTCTGATATTTAGTGTCAACTTGTGTTGCTGAACATTAAGGCCATTTGGAAGAATTTGTAGGAAAAAATGCACCGAAGTGACATCCACTCCACTTGGTTTGCAAAAGAAGAATCTATAGTAAAAAAATTAATCTCACGCTATCTAATAAAAATATTTCTATGAGTAGGTTCTCTGCATCATTTTGCCTTCTGGTGAGGATATCTTTCATAAAGAAAATTGTTTCAGAATACTTACACTACTTAAAATACAGTTGCACTGCACAGAGCTATGATTTCTGACTTTCAGTATTCTGTGATCACCTTTTCTTTAGCAGCAAGTGAGTATATACTACTTAATTTTTCAGTTTGTTTCCTCCAAAGGTCACTTAGTTATCTATAAAGCTTTTTTAATTGCAACTCTCTTTAAAACGTCGATTAATTTAGCTTTGCTGCTCCTGGGGTCATGACATCTGTAACTATTTTGTCTGGAAATTTAAGTGTTTTTGGGAAAGGGCTTAACACTGAGTTCTTCCTGTTTCTGCAAAAAGATGAGAGAAGGGAAACGAACAAAAGAACTCTAATTTTCCTATAATCATGATGGGCTTTGGCTCTTGTTCAGAAAGGTACTTGAAGCACCGTAATACTCGTCTGCTTTTGGGCCATTATAATTGCTGCAGAGATATACTGACTCCCTGGGTAAATACTGTCATTTATGGGGGAGGGAGAGATAGCTAAGAGACTGTTGCCTGACCCTGAACCTGTGTTGAACACAGGTGTACTGGGCCACTGAATTGACTGTATATTATAATGAAAGGAGAGCCTTTTGGGGGGTACACAACAGAGATTAGGAGTAAGCATTAGGTATCCCACTGCACAGCTGAGACAGTCTGTCATTTCTGCAAAGACACTCGTGTGCACTTCTCTTCCATTTAAACATTGCTTTGTTTTTTAACAGATGACAGTCTATTGTAAGCTGTGGAGTAATTCCCTTTTAAGGTCATAGCTGGACTTCTCTAGATGTGACAGGCCAGTCCCCCTGTGCCTGAGACCCCTCTTTAAAAGGACTTTTGCCCACATGGTGGCTGGGTGGTAGGTATATACCCTGCAAATCATTCATGCAGAAAGTGTGCCCTACAAAGATGATACTGGAGCTACTGCCCTGGCTGGGTGCGGGTCTTCACCGATACTCCTGTCTGGCACTGGCAGTGTCTGCCCGAGCAAGGACAGAGTGGCTCATATGTGGGAACGCGCCCAGATTTCTGCTCTGACAGCCCTTGTCCCCCTCCCGGCCTCACCAGTCCCTCCAGCCTGCATGAGCCATGCCCCACGTGGTGTGCCCAGCATGGCTTTCCTGCTGGTTTTGCCAAGAGGATGGATATTCCTTGGAGTCAGTAGAAAGCAACAGGCATTTTTTTCCGATAATCAGGTCTGTGTGAGACATTTACATTATGGTGCATTTGAGAAGTCATTATTTCCTTCCACTCTACAGGATAACTGGGGTCGGGTATACACTATGCAAGGGACCCAGAAGCGCTTTAGCTCTTTGGTTCTAGTTCAGCTCTTATTTTTCATCTTTTAGAAAATGCATGCAGAGGAGGTTGCAAGCTAAATAGAGTAATTAATACAATGGCATGGCAGTAACTTAAAATATTTAAAAGGTCAGAAAATACTGACTCGTGTCATCATTAACTTTCCCAATTTGCTTCTCTTCAGTTTTCTGTTATGAGTTTGGCTTTAGATTATGCTTCATAGCATACATGTCTGGGATAACCTTAATTTCTTCGTTTTCCTATGTTTAGTATTCTGCCATAGCATTTGTTAATGTTGAGGCTGTGTGCATTGTGGGTGGTTTCTCCCACTTTATCTAATGACCAAATTTGAAATGCAAAGATCTTATTTTAAGGTTAAAAACTTTGTAGTTTCACTGGCATGAAGAACGGAAAATTCACCCTCCATTTTTGCATGTTTCCCATTTTCACAATGGGTGCCTTTTTGTTGTAAAAATACCTCAGCTGCTGTCCCTTTGTCTTGGGTGGTGCTACACGGTGGCCTTTGCAAAGCCAGGAGTAACTTTTCGGCATGTCCCTGCCTTTCCAAGAAGGACACAGCTAAGCTTCCTGAGCAACATCAGCCTCTGCTAAGAATTCAGGTCAGGATCTCCCTGCTTGTTTCCTAGCAACTGGGGGATACTGGTGCTTTCTCCTCTCTGACCGGCTCCTTCGGCATTAGATACAGGGATCACTTGGTGAAGGGATCGGGGCAGTGCTAACAACTCATGCTTCGGAAAGGTTGAATGTAGCCCAGTGCTGGGCAACTGATGAGACATAGGGTGTACCATCCAAGCCAAACCGAATCGAGACTTTCGGAATCCTCCGTGCAAAATTGAAAGTGCCTCTGCTGGTTTCGCTACTGCTTAAATGTCTGGCAAGGTGACAGATCCCTTTTGAAACACCAGTAGCCCTTTGTGTTACGTTGAATCTGGCAAACAGGAACATATGCAGGTAAGCAGCTGAGGAAAGTTTATGTCTGAAGTGCTTTAAAGGTTGTTTTCCTACAGGTGTAATGAGTTTCTTGGTTACAAAGATGCACAACAATCAGTTGTGGGAGTACTGACCTGCCTTTGTACTTATTAAAGTTTCATTGGGTGGTAAGTAAAAAAGTTAAGTGGAAAGATGAACTGTCTTCCCTAGTTCCTTATGGTGTCTGTTTATACAGTGTTGAAAACAACCTTTAAACTTTTCTAGTTAATTTGTTGTAGAGTTGGCTAATGAAGAATTCTTAAGTGATCAAGAGTTATTGGTTGCCATGCTGTCACTGCAACTGGCTCATTGTTAGCACATTTACAAATTGGAAGGCATCAAGTCCCTCTAACTGTGTATTTTTTGCAGAGGCCAGCAATGGTTGTCAGATTTGATACTGCTTTTTGTTTTCCTTTGGTAGACTACAAGCAGAGACCCTTTGGCAAATATAAAAACTAAAGCAATGTGATATTCTAAAAAAAAAAAAAAAGGAAAAATAAATAGTCTTTTTTGTGCTTTAGCCTCTCTTCTCTACTCACAGATAGCAGAGATGGTGGGAATTAAACCAGTCTGTTCATATCTAGTGCAGGTACAGGGCTGACATGATAGTTTTCTGAAGGGCCACTCCTCACAGGAAATACAATTTTCATATTCTGAAAAATGTCAAAATGAATGTCTCCAGGTGCATACAAGCTATTTAACTTGCCTTTTCCACAAGTCTATAAACAGTATGCTCCAGCCTTTCAGCGATACGATTTGGTACAGCTCCAATTAACTTCAGCAGAGGCCTGCCAAGTGACATCAGCCAAATATCTGGCTGCACATCTCTAGGACAGGTACACTGCAAGCATGTTTGTAGGTTTTTTGCACAGGAGGCTGTAGTGGTGGATTCTGAATAGGGACATAAAAGACCGGAGTATTTTTAAGCCATATATTTTAATTATCTCTAATATGAAGATGGCTCTATGACATTGAAGAGCTGATTTCTTCAGAGAAACTGAGTGCAGTTCCAATTGGTATTTTCTGCACTTAGTATTCAAAAAAACAATTCCCAGAGTCTCACATTGCATACCTGATACAGCGGCTGCTTTTCAAAGTGTGTGTGTCCAAACTGGTATCTCCCAAGTTTTTTGTCTTTATCATACATATGGGAGAGCTTATACATCCATTCCCAGGACCCGCAGTCTATGTGTCCAATTAAGAAGAGAGAAAAAAAAAATCTATACCAGGGCAGGATCTTCATGCAGTTCAGGATGTTCTTTGTTAAAAAAGGCTCTCCCAAGGGTGTAACCTCACACTACTGTGTGTTTAGGTGATGTAGGACAGAGAAGGAGAAATACTTGTTTGAGGAGGTGCTTCACATTTCATTTAATTGTCTCAAGGTCAACAACTTTCAGGAGACAGTTAACAGCTGAACCATCTTTAGTCACTTTGATCTAGCTGTTTTAGTAAAGCAGCACCCTCAGAGAGTAGCATGGGACCCAACAGATTAAGTCATCCAGTACTCCCTGATCTGTCCTCTGTTCACAAAGCCTTATAGTGTCCTCTTAGTAATGCTCTTTTGCCAGAGCTGGGAGCTCTGCTAGACATCTAATTCCCTGCCCATTGCTGTGACTCATAAGTATTTCTAAAATGTCTCCAAAAAATGTTAAAAGGAAAGAGGCCCCTCAGCAAAGAGGGCCAGGTTTTCCTCAAACTTGAGCTAGTACATTTGCCAACTGCATGTAAAAGGCTAAATATTTTCCCGTTACACCTACACCAGACACTCTGCAGATACGCAGATGGCTGCGCCCTGGCGAGACCAGCCAAGGGAGCATAAATTGGCACTTTGGTGTTTGAAAAGAAGCTGGAATGGGTCCTGTAGTCTGATATTGGCAGCCAGCATCAGCGATCTGGGTGGCTGGACGTAGGAAAGAGCCAAGTCTGGGGAGGTTGTTGGAACATAGGCCTTGCACAGAATGGCGTTTCTTGATAGTAAGTAGCTCAAACATGTCCTTGGACTCTGCAGAAGACAGCAGGCTAGAGGTGGAAGGTGAATGCTTTCCTCTTTGCCTGTCTGCCAACCTGTGCAAGTCTAATTGGGAGCTGGGGACCTTAAATCTAAGAGTGATTTTTGTGTCATCTAGATATAAAGGCTGCCTGGAATCCACTGTCCGGTTCTGGGCATTTGGCTGCCAGAAGATGTGAGCTTGGAGCGGGACAAGTGCAGAGAAGGGTTAGTAAGATGGCCAGGAGAATGGAAAGCTTATCTCTGGGAGGAAGTTAAGGTGCTGTACTTTTTTGGCTTCTCAGATGAAGGCTGAGAGGGGAGACTCCTGTCTTCTCTAAGTACCTGTAGCATGAGAGAAAAGCTGCTTCAAGGAAAGTATTCCATTGGCACAAAAAATAAACAGGTATAGACTAGCCGTTTAGTCAGGGAATTTCTAACCATCAGAGTTACAAAGTTCTGGAATAGCATTTCAGTCAAAAGGCTAGGGAAAGTTGAATAGTTTTCAAGACTTCAATCATCCTGTGAAAGGATTATATGGAGTGTTTGCCAGCAACAATGGGGGATTGAATGCTCAGGAAGTCCCCTCTAGTAGTATGTTCCCAAGTTTTATCCTGACACCCCTATGTGAAGCTCAAAGATTTAAGTGTACCAAAACATGCTGTTCCTCAGGAGACTTTACCGTGTGAGAGAAATGAAGAAGTCCAGGCAATGCACGGAGCACCTGCACTGGGAAGTGGCTGATATGTGGGATGCAACTGATAGTGATTGATAGGCCTTGCAAAACCACATAGCTAAAGAGCCTTTGTGGGCAAAATGATTCATCACTGACTTTGGACCTGCCCAAGGGATCAGAAAAAGCCAAGAAGTGCTGGGACGCTTCAGCAGTGCCATGACTGGTCATTTTGGACATGACTTTTGATTTGTTGCTGTAACTAGTTCAGTACACACAGATTTTTCATGTGCCTCCCTGGAAAAGCAAGCTAAACACAGCAGTTTGAGGTGGGTAGTTCCCTCCCCAGAGTGGTGAGATGGCCCTGGAGGTTTTGTGCCATGCCTGAGAGACAGGTTGCTCCTGAATAAAACCACTTCAGTGGTTTTACTCTGCACCACCTGACTTGATTGGGATCATGGTACACCCACAGGAGGTGGGAGGAAAGCCCACACAAGCAACTTTTCTTGCACAGCTTTTCTTTCTGAGCTTTGATTAGAAATGCTGCTCTGCCACCCTCCCTCTCAATGTTGTCCCTTTTGCTCCCCATGAGGAGATTTTGTGCCTCTCTGCTCCTCTTCATACATCTGGAAGAGCATACACTTAAGTTAGATTTTTCTAGCATCTGAATGCCAATGCCATTTAATTTATGAATGCTGCAGTACATTTTGGTGTGCTTATTTAAATCAGGCAGAGCTCAAGTATTGTACAGTCACATGTAAAGGTGATGGCAGATGAGAGCTCTTTATGTCATACTGGATTTCTGCAGCTCACTTGTGCTATACCTGTCAAACTGCAGACAGAATATTTCTGAATTAATGACAAATATTTCCCAACAGTAGTTAGTTAAGTGTCTGGACATGTTAAATTAACCATAATAATCTTGTCGTAGTCATAAATTAATAATCTGCATCTCACTGGGCTTTTCAGTATTGAAGTAAAACATTTGTGGTATATTTAAAGAAGGGAGCTTGGGTACAAAGGGGATAAGTCTCCAAATAGATCTTTTCCTTTCTGCCCCTTTTTAACATCATCTTCGGGTTCCTGTGTAGCCTATGGGGGTTAGGACAATGGGGATGGGAATGTAGAGCGCCTAACTGAACTGTTATGTAACCCTGGCTTTCCTCCATCCTCCACAAAGAGGCATCTCCTCAAACTAAGGTGGTTTAGACCTAGTAATATCTTTTCTCCACTGCCTAGAGGGAGATGCAGCCAGTGAAAAATGTGTACATGAGAGCTTTCTGCCAAAGAGATCTTAAACCAGCAAGGGAGTTTCACAAGGAAAGTGCTCCTCAGGTCAGAGGAGGATAAGGGTGAATTTCTGCCTCAGTGTTTGAAATGAGAAGAGACTGAGGGCAAGTGGTGATGTGGGAGAAGGGGGACATTTCTCCCACTCTGTTCCCCACCAGTGGTCCATGGAACCCCTTCCAGGGGAGATCCAGGGAGCGGGATCCAGTTGCCTTTGCCTCCTACTTTCCACTACACCACAGTGTGCCATGGGGAGCTGGGCCCTGGACACCTCAGTCTGCACTAGCAGCTCCAGCAGAGCTGGACCAAGGGACAGACCTGGAGCTGAGTACTGCTTCTGCATGATAGACTCGCTCTGGTCCCTGCTCTGAGAGGTGCTTCTTGAAGAAGAACATTGGGAAAAGCATTTAATCTTTCCATACTTTTGTACCCATCTATAAAATGGGGATGCCAACAGTTCTCATCCCCTTTTGGAGAGCCTTTTCAAGTTGTAGGTTGGTTGTGATTCCAACATTGTATATATATGGACTGGTTCAGCATAAATTTGTCATGATAGGCTTTGTAGTGGTATGAATGGAAACAACTGTACCTTTGTAGCACAGTTTCTTGAAATGCTGTGATGTTCTCCAGAAAGTCCCAAGTGATTTGAGGTCAGGGACAAGTCCGAATCTCAAGTCTTTCAGAGAGCAGCAAGAGCTGGTAGCTGCCTCTTCCACTCTCTTTTCTTCTCTCCACCTCCAAGTAAAGCAGCAGCATCAGGATAACATCAGTGTTGTTCTCTAAACAGCAGCCGGCTTCTACCAGGCCAGTAGTGCTCCCCCACTGCAGTATGCATACTCCCATGTGCTCTCTGCAGGACTTCAATTCTCAGTCTCTCCGTTCTGCTTCTGACTCTTCATCATACCCTCAACTGCCCATAACCTCTAATGGCCAGCCTAGAAGCTCATCAGGGCTGTGCCTGGGCTACAGGTGTACTGGCTGCTCAGCTGGCTAGCAAGAGGAACAAGCAACTGCTTTCCTTCTTTCCTGCAGAACGGACTCTGCACGATCACCAGTTTTTACAAAACTGGTAGATGCTTCATAGCTTTGAGATGTATCTCTCCATCAAACTCATCTGAAAAGGACAAATGGCTTCAAAAGTGATGGGGAAACAGGCAAATGGAGCAGAAGACAGGGAGCAGTTACATAAGTGTTGTTTCCTTAGGAAATGAAACCTAAGGAGTAGCAGCATTGTATGGTGATGTTTATCACCTGTCCTCCTGTGCCAGTTTAAGATGAAAGCACTGTCAGGGCTGGAACCATCTGTTTTGCAGGTGAGAGAGGATGCACAATTGGTATAATGCTGTGACTGTTAGCATATTCTTCTGCTGCTTGGGCTAGACAAGGAGCATGAACCCTCCCAGTGACTATGTCCCTTACCGTTATAAACACTGTCAGGGAAGGTTTGAGCTCTTCAGTACTGTCCTCTCTTGTACTTTCTCCAGTCCTCTATTCTCACTTTGTTCTGCATGTTCTGCTCACTGTTACTTGTCCTGGACAAATTGGCACATGCAAATCCTTTCTGCTTCCCAATCCAAGGGAATGAGTGGGCTTGTGCTGGTGGTGTAGGGTATGCTAGAGACTTGGCTCGGGACTTCTGACGGAAGCAGTAAAAACTATTACGCTGCATTCATGGTATTGACTTCCAAAAGCCTTCAAGTCTGAAGTGGCAGCTGGAGGTGAAACATGCAGAGTGACTTGCCAGAGGGTGTTTTCACCGTGGTTATTGCTGCAGGGAAGACGGGAAGGAGGAAAAAAGAACCTGAGCAAATGGCATTTATTTCCATTTGCTCATATCCTTGTTTTGGAGCACAGAGCTGCAGGGAGAAAAGAGCTACAGGATAATATCTCCTCTTTCCAACACAAAATAACAAGTATCTCCTGAATGGATAGTAAGGATGAAAAGTTTGCAAGTACATGTCTTGAGGGATGTACAAAAAATTAGAGCTCTTACATTTGTGAAATCCTGATTGTGTTTTTCTTATAGATTGTGGAGGAAGGTCCCAAGCAAAGATGAAAGGACTCAGCAATCTTGTTTATTGTGGCGTGATCAGAAAGCAACCTTCCAGCCTGTTCACGTAAGAAATTATCTGAGTTAGGAAGACTGTCCAACTTAACTGAACTCCTACCTGAAACCCCTGTCGTAGTCATGTATTTCTGTGACCTTGCATTAAAATTCTTGTGCTCTTTCTTCTGGAAGTGATCTGAGCGTTTACATGAGTGTAAGAAAGATAAATGAGCCCGTGGCTCATCTCTCTCCCATCTGGGCTCAAGAAAATGATTGTCAATTGAAAGCTGAGAGGGACTAAATTAGAAGGGGTCAAAAGAGACTAAATAAGATCCTTCCCAATTAAAAGCCTGCCACATGTACTGCTGCAGAGCGATCCTTGTACTGCAGTTAGACAAGAGGCTGTTCAGCTTTGCATTTGGCCTGTGGGGTTTAATGCAACAGGAATGTGGAATGTGTTTACAAGGTAGCAGTTATTGCTGAAATATGTGAGTGCTATTGCCTGGGGAAATTTCAGAGGATTGAGATTGCGCTGACAGTGGCTGTACCTCTTAGACAGTCTGTGTGGATGTTGGGGAAGAAACTGGCCTCTGAGTCTGCAGTCAGAGCCCTGCAGAGGGAATGCAGGGGAAGATGCTCCCCTTCTCCACCACCTCCCGCTGCCCTCCTGCAGCTCCAGTTGGATCTCACTCTGTCCTCACTGCTCCTTCATGCTAGGATGACCCAGGAGGGCGAACCGGTCCTTGGGCTGGAGACATGGCTTCTTGTTATCCCTGCATCCGAGGTGACTCCAGGTTAGCGCATGACTGCAGCTAGTTCGGCAGAGCGATGTGGGCTGAAACGAGGCAAAGCTGAGTGAGTGCTGAGGACTGAGGGCCCCTGATGGCACCTTTCATGAGCAGCTCCTGGAAATCAACCTGCTTATGTTCTGGCTAATCTCAGCTGGTAGGCTGGTGTCTCTCTGCCTGGAAGAGCTCAGGCTTCTCTTAGATTGTTTAATTCATTCTCTTTGCATTCCCTGCTTTCTTTTCTCTGTACTTTAAATCTCCAATATTAAAACAATTCTGCACAAGGGTCAGAAATGACCCCAGTGATTATTTCATCCTTCCAGCATAGGAATTCCCAAGGAACCTGGTAAAGCCCAGCCTAGTCTCCTTATTTCATACACTTTCCTTGTTACTTGTGTCTGGCCAAACCAGACTGTATTTTTCATCACACTAATGGCAAAATGTTTGTAAGTAGGCCTGAGATACAGTTATATTCTGTGTTCAGATGAACCTGACAGTTGGAAAGATTTGTCATTAACTTTTAAAGAAACTTACTAATACTGTTGAAATTACACTGTTGACTACACAACACATTATGGAGCTGAGAGTAAATACTCCATGTGATATAGATAGGCTCAGAAGGGATGAAAATCGGGCCACATTCAGCTCTGATGTTAGCAGTTACCTTCATTGTCTCGTTACCTTGACGCACTGAGTTTTCTTCAGAATAGCAGATAAAGCTGAATAAGGATCTCATTCTGTGTAGTGCTAAACACTTTCTGTATCTTAAACTCCCATTAACCTCTGCACTGTACAGGGACATGCTTACATTAGGCTAATTGATGGGGCAGCAAGTCTAAGTGTGCTGTTCCTTAGGGCTTGCTGTGGTTCCAGGTGAGTCTTATTCTTTCTTTGCCACAAAGTAAGTGTGTGTGTGTGTACATGGGTATATAGACAATTTATTGTATTCGTGGTTCTAATAAGCAAGGAAGGATCAATGAAAGCCCTGTTATGTTTCCTTGAATTTAAAGGCACTGAGACCTTATAACAGTGTTGATATTTCTACTCATTCTGAATACCAAAAGACCTATATAATTATTTTTGTGAAATAGCTTCAGGAATGTTCCCAGTGCTGAATTCAAGAATAATTGCAATTGTGATACGTAGAATCAAATGTAATTTTGTTCTAAGTAAAGCAAGACACTTTCTTTTCTATTGCTTTTCAAGGAGGGGCACCGTGAGTTTTTAATACTTTCCTGACCCTTGACTCTGAGTGATGTTAACCTGCTATTGTACAAAAAAGATGAACTTCTTAAGAACATGATTAGCCAAAGTACTCTACACGAACACTTGATATTATTTAAGTTCAAAATACAAATTGTGCTTCTTTCACTAAAGGTGGCTGATACAAGCCTAAAACTCTGGTAGAATGTCAAGCTGTTTGTGCTCCTAAATATAGCAGAGGATCTCTGGTAGGGAGCTGGCCAGGGGAGGTCTTGTGTCTTTGTGTTAAACAGCTGTGTCTTTATTAGCTCTGTATGCTAAGAAAGAAGAAAGAGAGCCAATGTGACTTTATTACTCTAACAGGACTTTTAATAATAATGTTTTCCATGTTGGTAGAATAGATCTCCTGGCCCCTCTGAACTGAAAGCAGGAAGGAAAGGGTTATTCCATAGGAATAAGGTATTTCACATGAGTTTGCTTCATTCTTTTGCCAATGTAACACCCCCACACCCCTCTTTAAATTCTTTTATATGGTTGTTTCATTTGCTTTGTTGTTGGGGTTTTTTTGTTTAAAGAAAGCATGAAATCTAAGGCTTTTCCCATGAACAGGATATGACCTTTGACAAGGTGTATACCTATGAGTTACAGAGCTCTATCAGGGAAGCAGGGTTCCTTTCACCCTTCTGGGGTCAGCCTGTTCCCTGTGCTATCCAGGATATAAGGCTGGCAATGCCAGTGGTGTCTTCTGACCTCTTATATTTGTGTGTTCTGTTGCACCGCACTTTTTTAAAAACAAGAAGCTTCAAAAGCTGCTTGGGAGAAAAGTTTATTTTATGGAGTGTTTCTCATTTCTCTCAGAAGTGATAGGAAAAGGAAGGTCTATCAGTTCTTGAAATAAACAGGTAGAGAGAGCAGGGCTTTCCCCCCCCGTCCACTGGAAATGTGTTGTGCTTGTAATAGAGAAAGGAATGTGCTGTTGGCAGGGGCATGGTGGCAAAAGGTCTGGTGAGGATCCGACATGAGAATCCACACAGCCTTTGGAATAACAGGGCAGATCAACCAGAGAGGAGTTTGGGCTGATTAGGCGATGGAAAACACACACTGCCCAACAGCAATGAAAGAAGCCAGTGAAAACAACTGAACATGCAGAAAAACCACTGAAAGGCTTGGGAAGATGCACCTGCTGCTGCTTCTGTTTCTCCTGTCGTAGCCTGTGAAGTCTGACATGCTGGTCTCACCCTGTTTGCCCAAAGGCTTGGAAGGGGAGCCCATGCAGTGAGCTATACCCTCTCTCCCCTCTCCCACCTTCCTTTTAGCAGGTATTATATTACTTGGCATCCCTTGATGTCTCTTCTGTCAGTGATCACAGGGACATTGGGCACAACCTTATGTTTACACAGCATGCAACAGGGCATTTGAGTGGTAGGTGTGAGTACTGCAAAGGAAAGGGCTGGTGCAGAGAGATAGTAGCGTGTCAGTGGTTTTATGTAGCTGGTCCCTGTGCCACAGCTTGCTATTCCTCCACCTCACTGATGCTGAAGGTGGAGAAATAGCAAACTCTGGCACACAGAGCAGCATTGGAAGAGATTATGTTTTGGTGCAACTAACTTTTGTTAGTCGTTTCTGAGAGAAAGGGCATATCACTGACAGCTATATTAATTTTGACAGTGACTAGGGAGAGGATGGGAGGATCCTTAAAAGACAGAGTTTTAAAGAGGGGGCACTGACTTTGGGTTCAGGGTGAGTGTTCTTACCTGGGTGCTGAGCTAGGACCCACACAGCCAGGGAGGGTGTGCTGGTAGCAAAGCTACTCACAGCCAGCCTTGCCCTGAGCATGAGTGGCACACAGGCTCTCACCACACCCTCCTGGTTGTGCAGTATACAGGTTTTCTAAGAACATGAGAGCATGCTGCAAGAGTAGCAGTAGCTGGAGAAAATGTCAGCCACAAGCAAAGAAACAAATCCTTTTATTAATCAATAATGCAGACAAGGAAAGATGGTGAAGGTGTACCAGGTTCACTGTGAGGCTGATGAAGATGGATAACGAACTATCATGTTTTAGACAGCAAACCATTTGTGAAAATAGCACATTTTGAAGATGATGTCCCTGTGGACATCAGTCAGCATAAACAAGTATGTGCTAACAGCATCTGCACTAAATTATTAAAACAAGGAGAGAACACATGAAGTCAGAGACTTTGCAAAGTAATACTTTTAGTTTACTGATTCAAGCCATTTGAGCAAAATGGAAGGAGATGAGCATCTGCCCGCTTTGAAAACAAAAGACAAAGTTGTATATAAAAAGTGACAGCATTTTTCTTCTTGGTTTGACATGAAGTTTATCTTTGATATTTTATATAGATCTGGTAGAGAAAAACAGTACAGTTTTCTCAGAAAATATGTGGGTAAACTGTTTTTAATAATTCAAAAAGGGTGGGGTGGAGACACAGCTAGAATATATACAGATCCTGCAGAGGTGCTGACATATGGTAGAGAGGTAGGGTTGGCCCTTCAGTCTCAGTGCTTGGGCTCTGGATAAAGCTCCTTGGATGGCTGTGTGTATGTAAGTATGCACTCAGGTGAATTTGTTCATTTGATTTAAAAATTGGAGGTTGAATAAAAAGTGAAATCTATACCATTTGACATAAAGAGAGGTCTGGAGCAGGAAGATGTATGGCTTTGGAAATGGTCTGGCAGTTGTTACCAAATTCTCCTGTCCCTTTATGTGAGTTTTTTGGATGTGTTTATACAAACTAATTGGATTCCTAGAGACCTGGATCTTACTTATGCGGATGGTCCTAATACCTGAGCTCGTGTGTGCCATGCTAGCTCAGGGGGAGCACTTCACAATGCTTCCTAGATCTTCTGTTGCAGAAGGGGAAGTAGAGAAGAGAGGTTTATCTTAGTAACATAAGTTCAAGATGGTGGATGACTTCTGGAAAGGATTTTGTAATTGGGCGTGCTGTGAGAGATTTAGTTTTGGCTAGGCTCAAGCGTTATCACTTGGGAGCACTGAAAGTGGTTTGAGAGCTTGATAGGAAGTTGATGTTAGGATCTGTGTCAGCAGAAGAAGTCTGAG